AAAAAAAAAAAAAAAGAAAGAATGAAAAAGAAAAAGAAAAAGAAAAAAAAGAAAGAAAGAAAAGAAGAAGAACTGTCATGATTATTTTGGTTTAAAAATATACTGTTAAACGAGATTGGAAGGAAGGTGAGAAAGAAAAAAGATAGGAAAGATGAAAGAAAGAAAGAAACAAAGAAACAAAGAAACAAAGAAAGAAAGAAAGAAAGACAGAGAAAGAAAAATAAACCATTAGTAATTTTCTAAAAAATATATTCATAGGAGCCTTGTACAAGGATGATCTCAGAGGAAAAAAATGGATGGATTTTGATGAGATGTTGGTGGTAGAGCTGACAGGATCTGCCTATTATATTGGACAAGGAGTATGAGATAAACACAGGGGTCAAGAATGGCTTCATTTTTTTTTTTTTAATGTTGAGCACTTATTAGTCAGTGTTTGCAACATACCTTAGTTACATATATATCTGTTTGTGGGCACTGAGATTGATAACAGATAGATAGATAGATAGATAGATAGATAGATAGATAGATAGATAGATGATAGATGTCTTTATCAGTTTCAGTCATTTCACCTCTCTCCTTACCCTTCCACCTCCCACTCCATCTCTTTCTCTATCTCCAACAAGTATACCTTGTTGTTTCCTACCATCTTTCCTTAGTTTGCCTATTTAGTTATTCCAATTTTAAGTTTTCATGTATGAGAAGCCCTGAAATGTTTAACTTTTTGGGAAATGAACAGAACTGGAGACCATAATGTCATGTAAAATAAGTTAGAAACTCTTAAGTCTTTTAACCTTCATAACTGAAAGAAAGAAGTTGCGGTTTTTTTGAGAAGGTTGAGAGGCACTCCACTTTCTCTTGCAGGGCTGACATGATAATTTGAGAGGTGTAGATGTGCAAAAAGAGTTATCCAGTTGGTGCTAGAATATATGAACCCCTTTAGGAGTTGCTTAATACGTAGATTGCATTTAAATCCATGAGGTTAGTTAAACTCACCAGGAACTAATTAGACAGAAGAAATCCAAAGTAAGCTCTAGAAACCTCATATTTTAAAGATAAAGATGGAAAGGGCGGTGTGCATACAATGATTGGACTATGTTTATAGCCAACTGAATGAAAATTTGAGCCAATATAGATCTGCAATGGTTAGTGAACATGCTCAGTGGCATAGGTGGATAATGCCAGGAAGTGAGGTGTGACCTGGGATTACCTCTTCTGGAGATTGACATAAACAAGAATGTACAGCACAGGATGATCTATTATGCTGGTTGCTTAGGCAGATTGTTCAAACTACAAAGTTTGGGTGGGTGGTGGGAGAGTTGGTTCTGGGGAACTCGCCAGGAGCACACAGAACTTTAAATAATGTAACACTGCATAACAAGATCAAATCCAAAATTCACAATCTGGTCAAATTTTGATTTCCAAACACATATTGGTCAGCAAATTTCTGATAATTTTTCTATTCAATCATGTCTATATTTTTCTCCATATGGACTCTGTCTTTATGTGGATGCCCTATTTTTGCCTATTAAGGTTGCATTTGTCCCTATGTATTTAGTTGTTTTAGGGTCTCACTACTGAATTCAAACTTGTAGTGACCTTCCTGTTTTCAGCCTCCCCAGTGCTAGGATTACAAGCATGTGCTACCATTCCTAGACTCTGGTCAGCTCAGCCAGCCCTGGGGGCAGGGCTGCCATGGCATGTGGTGCTGGGGTCAAACCCCAGTCCCTGCACTTGCCTAAGCAGGCGCTTAGTCCACTGATCTATCTCACTGGCCCTCATTTGTCTTTAAAGGCTTACTAAAATGTCATCTCCTCTGTGTCATCTTTCTTTACTAATTCTGAAAGAATTAAACTTCATCTTCTGGATGTCACAGGATCTTGCTCTAGTACGTCTGTTTATCAGGCAATTGTGGACATTTTGGCTGTGCAACCAAATGATTATTTTTAAAGGTTAACATCATAATTTGTAGCGTGCAACAGAAGTAAATGCATAACTACTCTGAATTTCTCTTATTCCTTCCTGTTTTCCAGGCCTTCCATAGCCTATACTTGTGCAAGACGCTGCTCCCTCTGTCCCTGTGCTCCTGTTTTGCTCTCTCATCCCATTCTTCCCTTCTGCCTTCCCTCTTTTCTTTCTTCATACCCTTACTAACCTGTCTCTTCCCATTCCTTTCATCTTTTGTACAATACACAGCTATAGAACACGTATTAAATTAGCTATTTATTTTATTGAAATAATGAAAAAGACATATTAACAATTAAAGCCCTTACAGTCTCACTATGTGGTTCTTAGGCTGCACATCCCACAACAGGAGTATCTGATTCCTGACAAATTGTACTCATTGTTATTTAAGATACCATTCTCTCTGACCCTCAGCCCAAGCAAGTGTGATCATGCTGCTTGCATTATGCTGAAAAGTTGACAGCGCAATACTCTCTTAAGACTTAGTGAAATCCTGTCTCCCAGAATACTTCCCGTCCAGCAGTGTAGTAAGTGTTTCCCTAAGTCGCTCATTGTCTACTCTACTATTCTAGCATTTAGCGTCCCTTACCCTGCACCTTCACTGGGTCACAAAATTGTGTTATTTCTCCTCAGTTCAAGGTATTTTTTAATGAAGATCATCTTCATAATTATGTAACATAATATTATTTTCATGGATGATACCTATCATACATTCATCAGTGAGAAATAGAAAAATAGGCAAAAACATTTCCACAATACCTTATCATGTAAAGATTCTTCAAGATTCTTTCTGAAAGTTTCTGATTCTTGAATTAAAACATTCTACAGAAAAAAACAAAAAGTAATAAATTAATGGAAAAATTATAAACTTGTAGGTTAATATGCTATCACTCAAGGATCTCCTTAAGTTCTTCCTTGATTTTATGGAAACAAATTTTTCTTGAACTCTTTAAACACAACATTTATCTTTTTAGGAAATATTATTTAAAAGGGAGATGATGCCATGCAATACTTGGGTGGGTAAAAGATGTAGCGAATGTTACCTTCCGAGCAATTTTTGTTTGCTTTGTCTTGGATTACATTTTAAATTGGAAGTAATATAGTTTTTCTTTAATGAGGAATAGAGCAACATAAATATTGTCCAGAAGTACCATGTATAAAGAATTCAGATGAGCACATTAGAATTATCTTAAGAAAGAAGAAATCATCACATGTTTTGAAAAGCTCATTTTCTAAAAATCTATCTCACATGCAGAATAAATTATTCTAATAACACTTAACTAATGAGTTATTAGTTATAATTTATTAATTAATAAAGACTTAACAAATTAGCTTTTAAAGTTAATAAACTAATAAGCCAATAAATAAGTAGTAACACTTATTCACAAATAAAAATGAAATCTATCTTTTTAGAAACTAGCATGTCACAGAGACACGTGAAAACAATTGAGACTGTCATAAAAGTATTATTATCGTTACAATTTTTGTATATTTCTTATAGTACTACAAAGTATGGCTTAAAATAATGTATTATTTTCAAATTTATACAGTCAAATTAAATAAAAATGTCATCATGGAATAGTGAGCATATAGGTGGAGTTTTGTAATAGAAAGATGTCTTCTCACGGCTAGTCAAAGTTCTTTAATACTTCATTAAAAGATTTTCCTTTTTCCTCTTTCAGTCTTATTCCAGGCCGGTGAGGTGCTCATAAGGCAGACAGAAACCCCGCTGCCGGGAGAAGCTGCTGCTAGGTGCGTGCAGAGAGCAGCCTCAGAGAGCAGCCGGACCGGAAGGGCGCCTGCAGAACCATTCTTCCGTGACCTCCCGGAGCAGCCGAGGGCTCTGGTGCACCTAAAATTTTCAGTTTTAAAATTTCACCTGTAAACCTCCTAAGCTTGTCATCTGTTCTGGTCTTTGAAACTCATGTGGTGGCTCTAATATATATAAAATGTTAAAGTAGGTGTGCCCGTCTCCCGAAATTCAGCGTTGTACAAGACTACATATTTTATTTTTTCCACAATGTGGAATAGTAAATAAGAAAGTTAAACAAATGTAGACGGTGTTTTGTTTTGTTTTTTGGTTTTGGTTTTGGTTTTTGTACAGGGTGTACAGGGTCTACAAAGTCTCACTATGTAGATGGGACTTGTAGTGATCCTACTGTTTTTAGCTTCCCAAGCGCTGGGATTACGGGTGCACGCCGCCACGCCCAATCTCAATTTCTGTCGCAGCGCGCCCCTGGGGCGGGGCCGGCACAGCACACTGTGCATCGAACCTGGCCGCTGCTCTGTCTCAGCTGGCGCTTTAGTCTGCTGAGCAATCTGGTCGGCCCTTAGAGTTGTTTTTTAATTTAGAAAGATTTTCCTTATTCTGATTTATTTTATGTGTCTGGAGGAAATGCCTAGCTAAAATAGTTATTGCCATTCAACCTTGATTTCCAAAACTGATTTTTCTGCCTGAGCCCCAGCCCCTACCTTTGCTTTTGCTCTGGAAGTGGCAGCCAGTGCACCTAACTCTTGCGGGTATGAAAGCTTTCCAACATCAACACGGAGCACAGGTTCCCAACTCTTTCAGTAATATTGACAATAGAGTAGCGGTGACAAAATTTAACTCACTAATACTTCTGCTTTAGATTGCACTTAGTATCAGTCATTTGAAATATATGAACAGCTGAAAGCAAGCCCCTCCAATCTTGAATATTTGTTTTTTCATTTGAGGAAAAGATATTTGAAATAGTCATCACAAAAGTGCAGCACATTTTAATATATTGACTTCCTACGAATATATTTGTAAGAAATATTTATGTATCATGCAGCCTTTTTTATTTAAAAATTGGGGCTGGGGAGGTAGCTCAGTAGAATAAGTGCTTGCCTGGCAGGCGCAAGGGCCTCAGTTCAATTCCCAGTTCAGCAAAAAAATAAAAATGAAAAAAAAATAATAAATAAAAATTGCCCTTATGATATTTACATAAATTTTGGATTGCTTTTTCTTTGTAGCAGGAATCAAACTCAAGACCCTGTGCTTGCCAGGCAGGTGTTGTGCCACTGAGCTATATCCCTGGCCCTTTTACATAAATCTCTGACTTCCTTCTAAGATTTATCGGGCATTCTTAGGGCTAGAGGATGCACAGCAAGAAGCAAGTCTTGAGTTTTAGGCCTCAGCAGCTCTCACAAACACACACAATTAAAGTAGTGCATCAGGCATTAAAAAACAAACAAAAATACAAGGAATATAATTGTTCATCTATCTAAAACAATGATAGCCACGGGATGGTCTGTAGATGCAATCTCAAGGGCGCTGCCGAGCACTGATGCGATTTTACCTTCTCTTCGAGCGCAGCCATCCGTTCCTTCAAGTGCAGCTGCAGGCGTTCATTGGATTCCGTCAGGAGTCGGTCCACAGTATCGGACAATCTTTTGTTGTGCTCCTCGTTCATTTTCTCTCTTTGTCTAGCCTTACATCAACGAAAATGTAATATAAACATGACATAAAAAGCTACTTAAGACCTCTTCAAACTTGATTTGATGATTTTACCAGTTGCAATATTTATTTTTGAGATAGGGTTTCTCTAATGCAGTTCAGGCAGCTTCAACTCACTTTGTAGCACAGGCTGACCTCAAACTCACAGCAATCCTCCTACCTCAGCCTCCTGAAGCCTGGAATTACAGCCTGGAATTACGATACCTGGTTGATTTTGCTCATTTTAAATTGGCTTTTAAATTTTCTGTTCTGATTAAATTGGCAGAAACTATTTTTTTTTTAGATGCGCAAAGCATATTCATAAGATTTTAATTAAAACCCACAATCAAGAAAATTTTTCTCCTCATATGTAGTCATAACCCCATAAACAGATGACGGGGTGGTTTTGGTGTACATACTCTTTGAAGTTCTTGATTTTTTTCCTCAAGTTGCCCCTCTAGATGTCTCATCCGCTCTTCAATATTTCCATGTCTTTCTTCCGCCTGTTAAGAAATACAAAGAGAGCACCTGAAATGTAACATGTGATTAATGCTGTTTCTCTAAATAAACTGAAATAAAATGTAAAGCAAGCTACTACCAACTGCAAACAGTTTTCAAAAAATAAACTTTCTTTAAACAGGCAGCTGATCAGCATTGCTTGAAATGTGTCAGCTATGAAGGCCTGTTACACTCAAGCATCAGCAAAACGTTGGAGTATTTATGAGCAATGAAATCAGCCAAATGTAACATGCAGACTGTGCACGGTTTGAACACAAACCTGCCATTGTCCAGTCTTAAGCTCCTGAAGCACTGAACTGCACAGATGGTTGATTATCAATAAATAAAAGTAACATAATTTTAATAAATGAAAAGAAAAAACTTAGATGGATTCTATTCAGCAATAGAAAGTAAAGTCCAGTAGGACTACCTTCCTACGTATGGAGATCATTTCTTGGAGTTTAGCTTCCATAACATATTGATAATCATCAGATGAGGTAGAAGAGGTTGAATCAGACTAACAGGTCAAGGAAAAGGAGAGGGACAAAATTGAAAAATCAGAACTAAAGACACTGACACTGAACAAAACATAGCACAGAATGCTTAAAATAAAAGAGTGACAGCAAATTTAATACTTTAATAGACAGAATATTATGTAGAAACAACTATACTGATATCTAGTGAACATAATGCATTTGATGGTTATAAATGAAAAATGGTATGCTAAAACAAAAGCCCCAACCTAAGATATGGAAGGTTAGTGATGACTGGCAGTGAAAGACTGCTCCGGAATGAATCAAAGCAACTCGGAAAAAGTCATGTAATAACTGGACTTATGGGAAACCAAACACTAGAAAGGTGTCTCCGACAGATTGTTAAAAAGTTTTATGTTTTTGGTTTTGTTTGCTTATTATATTACTTAAATAATGGAATCAATATATTTCAGTGTTGAAGTGTGTGTTAGCCAGTGTCTTGCCTATCATAGATTTGGTATTTATCATAAACCCTGCCATGTGGAAACCAGAGAAAAAGCTAAGCTGTAGGGTTAATTATTATGAGTAATCTCCAATTCAAGCAGAATTGAGTTTCCTCAGCAACAGTAGCCAGTTTAATTTAGGGTCACTGAATGTGTATTATGCTCACCCATTTGATTGACTGTTCTAAAACACAATTTTAATTTTAGATGTTAAATTAAAAGTCCTCAGATTGTCATGGTAATACCTCACAATCATATTGTGAAGCCAAGAAAAAATTCATTTGTGAACTGTCCTAAGTGGAACCTAGGACCACTCCAAAATTATTTCTTTATGAATTTGTTGCTATGGAATAAGAACACGGCAGCGTGCTAAAGTGAACAGGTCGCATGGAGTCAGTCATTGTGAGTTAATGCTGCCCAGCGCTGAGGTTAGTTACGTGTCTTAGAGGTGCAAGTGTTAACACATGTGCCATTGCTGATTGCTGAGTTGGATTAGTATGTTATGCACAAATTACAGAGAAGCTTACATCATCACAGTTGCAAGTCATGACAAAACTAGAATAATCACAGGTCAAGACTATAGATTTTAGCTACAGATCATATTGTCACATTTTTATACTTCATTCCAAAATACTAAATATTACTTTATACTACTATAGGACTATTACTATGTCATAAAGTAGCTGAAGAGAAATCGTAACTATTTTTGTATCAGTTCATACATAGTACCACAATTATGAAACAAATCCCAACTTAAGTCTACAAATGAATATTTAACACTTCAATTTTAATTTTTATGCAATGTATAAGTCAAATTTACAATTTATAACATTGTTCTTCTGATAATCTTATTTCAGGAATGCGTAAAATCAAATAAGCAACTTATTTTCCTATGTCCTCAACAAATTCTTAAGCAGAAACAAAACAGAAAGGTATAGCAGTCCTTGTAATAAAATGTCTTTATAATATGATTTAAAACTCTTAATTCAGCTGTATTGTTTTAAGAATGCAACTAAATGGATCAAATTTTGGGATTATGTTATCTTAAATTTATAAGGTATCTTTCTAGAAGTGTATTTTACAGGCACCTAGAGGCATGAAATTAATCAGGTGGCTGATTAAAGATAGTGCAGACATGAAAATTTCAACTTCTGAAACCAGCTCTTCAAACATGGCAGATCTGGAAACCCTTAAAACTGTTGCTTTTGCGTTAACTACTGAACGTGCGCCACACACTGTAAACGTTCACATCGGCTATAGAGCAAGCAGCCTGCAGTTTCTAAATCATTATGTTATTGCTGATACTTTTCATGGGTACTAAAAATGAATGAAATACCTCACAAAATTCAAGATGATTATGTCCTTGCTAAAGAAAATATGCATTTTAATTGAAGAAGTAGATATAACAAATCATGATTGGGAGCGCAAAATGATCCTCAATGATTAATTTTGTGTGTAACTGTTAAAGCCCAAGGATTTTTTTCTGTAGTAGCTACCAGTAATTATAAATTTCTACAAGTCTTCAGTGAATTTTGCCTGCATGCTGTATATGCACACACTCACAAAAAGACAGAGACCCCCACACAAACAGACACACACACACAAACATGCACACAGATAGGTTACAAGATAAAAAATATATTTTACCAACCAAATAGTAAATGGAAATATCACTCCTGAACAATACTGAGACACATTTTTAATCAGCTCTAATGATCATATTCATCTTAGCATTATACAAACTACAGTTGTACCAAGGGGAGTTGACACAAAAAAGCGCAAAGCAACAGTCTGCTACTTTTCATTTGGATTTCCTGAAGGATTTATCTTGGCTTCATTCTGAAGTGATATAGGAAAATTACATAAGCTGATGTTTTAGACAAATTGCAGGCAGAAATGTCCCTGATCAAAGTTTGTTTACAGTCAGAAGTGGAAAAGAAATTTAAGTTTAAAAGATGACTTAAAAACAAAGAATGAATTTGGTGGCCCATAACAAAATATATTTTATATGCACACATATAAAGAAAATGGGTGAGGAGTTGTTTGAAATATTCAAATACAGAAGTGAGAAGCTTAGTTTTAATGTAAGCAGAAATATTTTTTTCCTTTTGTGAATAATCAGAAGGGAAAATAGAAAATGTTGTAATTGTGCATAATATTGAAATACCGAATCTGAGTCAAATTGGAAAGGAAAAGTTAAAGAGCTCACAGAGATAGAGAATTCCCAATGTTATTGAGATAGAGGTAAAAAAAAAACAAACTTCAAGATTGTTGAAGCTTCAGTTTGGAAGTACAGTTGAAAGAGTGACCTCCAGTTGTAACAAGCACAGGGATAAACCCTCAGGATTCACAGTTTACATTATAAAGTAACTGTGTTGGATATACAATATTGTATGTCTGAATTCAAAGTTGTTGATATAAAACCAGCCAAAAGAGAAGGCAATAAAATGTCTGAGTGAATTATAACTTTAAAAGCTTTTCTAAAAATGATAAATTTGTTTAGAAATATAGGAAAATCGAGTACAGAAAAAGTTATGTCTCATAGAAAAAACATTTCAAACATTAAACATTATTGGGTTCTTCACTCCATGATTATTCTTATGTGCAAAGATTGCTATGGAAATTAACTATAACCATAAAATAAAATTTAAGTCATTTTCTTAATATTCCAATAGGTCAGAGGCTTATCACATTTATATATTCATCATTCAAGCTAGCACAAGTAAGATATATGCAGTAAGAAAAGTATCATTGAAGAACAGACCAATATAATAAAGGCTATAGTAAATAAATTTTACTTTTATAGCACCTAAAGAAAATCCTCATAGATTCCAGTTTGATTGTCAGTGGTGCCTACAGCAGTGGCTAGGTTGACCATTTGTTGTAGTGCAGTACCTTTGTCAGGGCTGCGATTCTTTGAGCCAGTTCGGCCTCTACTTCAGGTAAAGTTTCAGCCTTCCTCATAGTCTGCTGCAACTTTTGCTCAGCCAGCTCAAGACGCTCTTGTAGTTGTCTGTTTTTCTCTTCCATCTGAAATAGGGAAGGTAAAAGGGACACTTAACCAGTCAAAGTTAGGAGAGCAAGCCGTCACTGTGCGGTTTATAACGACAGGAGCCACGAGCTACTATCACTCTTAAACGTGCTACATGAGGATCATCATATTTTATATATTATGTACCAATTTCCCTTAATAATGTTCAGCACCTTAAAAATAAAAAATGTTTCTATTATGGACAGCAAGATGATATGACTGATGAGTATGAACGTGCACAAATACAGGACAGCTCAGCTTGGTATTAAGAGTTCAGATGTACTATTATAATAAAACATTGAAAATCACAGTATTAGACTGAGAGAGGAGTGGAACAGTTGCCTGATAAGACTCCAAGCTTCTGAGATGAAGTGGGCACACCTTGGGTAAAAGACCAGATAGTAAATATTGAAGACTTTGTGGATCATTGGTCTATGCCCCATCTAGTCGATTCTGCCAGTGTAACAAAAACAGGCATGGACAGCAGTTAAATGATTAGACACAAGTATACCGCTGTACTAACACTCTATTTACAACAGATTTGGCCAGTGAGCTCCACAGTTAGGCTTCCATAATGGGTTCCTTTGCTTACAGATGTGTAACCTTGGGAAAATATTAAACCATTGATCTTTAGCATACTTAGTAGAGTTTGAATAATAATTGTACTAGGTGGTATTTAGAATTATGTGGGTAACATAGGTAAAGCAGTTATTGTAATTTATTTATTTATTTCTTCTTTCTT